GGGAGCTTAGCATTTGCCTAACTAAAGAAGTTAATCCAATACTGAATTTTTTGTTTGTGCTCAACAGATGTCCAGATTAACATAAAGCGTTGTCTTAGCGATGGCTGCGACACTAGAATTCATGGTCTCAGGGCTGTTGGCTTTCAGAGAGTTAAGAAGTCTGGGGTCTCAGTCTCAGATGCTTCTGCAATATGGTATTGGTCTCTGCTGACATCTCTGGTGACGGCTTCTATGGAGACAAATCCCGCCTTTGTCCAGACAGTGCTGCACAATACTCGGTAAGTCATTCTCTCTGTTTTCCAGCCCCTCAACGTGGCATGCTCTCATTATCCCCTCATCCTTTAGGGATTATCACTGAGCAGCCTTCCATCATTGACCATTGTGGCTCAGTTGGCTCGGCCTCAAGTGCTCTAGTGTTTCCTGTTCGTGCCTCTCGGCTCCGCATTCCTCTCTTTGATTGACGTTCTGACTTTACAGACTGAAAAAATGCCCATTCCACCTACCTGCTCCTCCTCATACAGTTGTACGGTGCTCTTCTTCAGCTCTCTAAGTGGACCAGTCTTGTGAGAAGGTCATTTATGCTGTCCCTCTTCCTTGTCCGTTGGGAAATAATTGCTCATGTTTGTATAGGATTCGATGTTGCATAAAACACTTTCAGATGCTATCTGTTATTTTGCCTACTGACACTGAAATGTACCTGTGAAAATTACCATTTTATAGATGCAGATGTTGTGACCTTTCCTAAAGTCACATGACCAGGCAATAATGGATGAGTTTGAATCTTGGTCTTTGGATATCCAAGTTGAGGGCTCTCTCTGCTAATGAATGAAATCTTTTTAGGGATACTAAAATAATTTATTTTGAAATGTATAAAATACTTTTGAAATTTTTCTCTTATAAAATGATCTAGAGGCCAGGTATGGTGGCTCATACCTGTAATCTCAGTACTTTGGGAAGCTGAGGCAGGCAGATCACTTGAGGCTAGGAGTTCAAGACCAGCCTGGCCAACATGGTGAAAACCCATCTTTGTTAAAAAATACAAAAATTAGTGGGACATGGTGGTGCGCATCTGTAATTCCAGCTACTTGAGAGGCTGAGACATGATGAGAATCACTTGAAGCCAAGAGGTAGAGGTTGCAGTGAGCCGAGATCACACCGTTGCACTCCAGCCTGGGTGACAGAACAAGACTGTCTCAAAAAAAAAAAAAAAAAAAAAAAAAAAACAAATTAGGGCAAAAAGACCAAGTACTAACATATAAGACGAATACAACCAGGTATATCAGCACTGAAATATTAGTATTGTGCAGATTCGGTATCTGATAATGGGCACCTGTAGTGTAGGCTGTGAGAGTATCAGCCATAAAGAGATTGCTAGTATTTTGCTCTCTAGACATCTTTTGAGATTTGTTAGCACTATTGAGTAAAACTATTTAGCAAATAACATTGCTGCAATGCTAGTTCTGAAGGGTAATAGTTGCCTATACCTAATTCTTTCTTCCTCTTTTAACATGGATAATTTCTCACTAAATTATTTCATACTTAGAGAAACGTTGCAAGTATACATTTATTTAACAAATAATTTTTATTTCTTCCTCAGTCATTTGAGAGTGGTTTGCCAGCCTGCGCCCCATGTCCCTGCATGCTTTTGTGTGTTTTATCTGTAAACAAGAACATTCACTGACAACCAATGAAATCAGGAAATCAACCTTGGTGTCGGTTGCTGCCATCTTCAGACTCCCTTTAAGTTTTGCAGGTTGCCCCAGTCACACCCCTTACAGCAAAAGGATCCGACGAAATACTCTGCATTTCACTGTCATATCTCTTTAGTGTCCTTCATTCTGGAACAGTTCCTTAGCATTTCCTTGACTTTCACGACCCTGATACTTTTGAAAATGACAGATCAGTTATTTTGAAGAGTGTCCTTCAGTTCTGGTTTATTTGATGTTTCATTGTGATTAGATTTAGGTTTTGTATGTATCTCTAGCAGGAATATCATAGACGTGATGCTTTGCTCTCATTGCATCCCATTGGATGGCACACAGCTTCAGATAATCCAAATTCTAGTGCAGTCATGTCAACTTTGATCACTTGATTAACATGGTTTTTGCCAGACTCTCCATTGAAAAATAATTATTTTTCACTTCGTAATTAATAAATGTATTGAAGGAGGTACTTTGAGACTATGTAAATACTTAATTCCTCATTTGTATTAGTGGATTCCTATTTTATATGTAGATTATAATCATCCACAGTTTTGGTGCTTATATTATCCTGGAGTTGGCTGGTGGCAAACCCTTCAGTCTGGCTTGTGTGTCCTTTTGACATGTCTCATTCTTGGAATACTTCCATATGTTCTGACACAGCATATTCCAGGCTTATCTTGAATGTTTCCTGCATTAGTCCTGGAATCAGCCATTTTTCTGAATCAGGTGCTCTTTAGGTGCCCCTGTCTTGACCTCCCAAAGTGCTGAGATTATAGGCGTGAGCCACCGCGCTTGGCCTATTTGTGTATTTGTGAGTCCCTTCTCTGATATTAAGAAACTTGCTCCCCATCATACTTGATATATTTCCATACTTATGCAGTCCACCTCTATGCAACCAGTGTCCCATTGCCCCTGCCCCTGCATGGACACCCTCCCTGTCCCATTCCTGCTCCAGCATCTTTTGTAGGGCTACTGCTGTGTCCACCCTTGCACAGATGCCGTTCTTATCTTCCCTGAGTGCTGTACCCTGTGCCAGGCCACCCTTCTTGTCCCACTTGATGCCTGCATTGCGTGCCAGGCTGTACCTTTGTGAAGATACCTTTCTCACCCGGCTCAGGCTCTGAAACCTCACTGTAGGCCACCACGACTCCTCCCCTTTCTCCCCAACTCATACGAATGCCTGTGTTGCACAGCCCCATCTTATGGACTGGATTTTCAGGAAAAGGAATAGGTTTCTACATTATTTTTTGGAAGATGTGCCAAGTGGTTGAAGAATGGACACTTTTTTTTTTTTTCTGAGATAGAGTCTCACTCTGTCATCAGGCTGGAGTGCAGTGGAGTGATATTGGCTCACTGCAACCTCCACCTCCCGGGTTCAAGTGATTTTTCTGCCTCAGCCTCCCAAGTAGCTGGGACTACAGGTGCACACCACACCGGCTAATTTTTGTATTTTTAGTAGTGATGGGGTTTTACCATATTGGCCAGGCTGGTCTTGAACTCCTGACCTCGTGATCTGCCCACCTCGGCCTCCCAAAGTGCTTAGATTACAGGTGTGAGCCACCATGCCCAGCTGGAAGAATGGACATACTTTAAAGTTTATGATCCTGATCAGTTTTACTAGTTTATCTGCAATGGTATTTTCATGTACTCCAGCCTTTTTAAGATCAGTGATCTAAATCTATTTTAAAATTAAAGATTTATTGGAAAAAATATCAATGAGGAAAAATAGGTAAGGAAAGAATATTTTGGGACAGAAGTGTTTGCCTGTGTCAGGGGAAATAAATTCAGGAAATGATTGCATGCTTCTTGTGTGCATTAGACCTCACTGACTAGCTGCATCTACATGTAGCTGCCATGTTTGTGCAACCCAAAAATGACTCATTGTGTAGACAGGAACAGAAACTAGGGCAGAGTGCGAGCTGACACTGTGTTAGTTTTGCTGTATTGTCTCTATTTTAAAATGTAGAAATGAAATTGTTTCAGGGAGTTTCATTACCATTATCATGAAGCAACTGTCAGTTGTATAATTTTTACTTATTTTGATACATTCACAGAACATCTTGAAATTTTCGTGGCACACTCACTTACCTAGCACAGTTGCTGGCACACAGTAGGACTCAGAAATCATGTGTTACATAAATGTTTGATGACTGCTAATCTAGAGGAGATAAAGCGATTGGGGGATTCAGAAAGATAAACATAAGCAAAGACAAGAAAAGAGAAACATTGAAACAGACGTTAAGGCAGAAAGGCCAAGAAACATGCAGGAGTGGAGACAGTGGCATGCCGATCTGCTCAGGAGAAAATGAAATTCATGACGCATCTTTAGATACCATATCGTAGATCCCAGGTGGCATGCCAATCTGCTCAGGTGAAAATGAAATTCATGATGCATCTTTAGATACCGTAGATCCCATACATCTTAAGATTGCAGGTAGAAATTTTTCTTTTCTTTTTCCCTATTGCTGCTAAACAAATTATAAATTAAATTTTCTACTGATCCACAAGTTTCTCTGCCTCTTGGGTCAGTTTTTTTTTTTTTTTTTTTTTTTTTAAACAATACTTAATATGAAAGCTGGATTCCAGAGACTTGAATAAGCTTTATTCAACAGAGGGACGCAGAACTCCTAAAAGAAAGAAAAACAGAAAGATAGATAAAGAGAGAGAGGGTGTAAACAGAGAGAGAGAAAGAGAAAGACAAAACCCTATTAGACTACTTAGCACTGTGACTCTGGGTAAAAAGGGCTACTTTAGGCTGGGCGCGGTGGCGCATGCCTGTAATCCCACCACTTTGGGAGGTTGGGGTGGGTGGATCACGAGGTCAGGAGTTTAAGACCAGCCTGGCCAGGATGGTGAAACCCTATCTCTACTAAAAATACAAAATAATTAGCTGGGCAGGGTGGCGAGCGCCTGTAATCCCAGCTACTTGGGAGGCTGAGGCAGAGAATTGCTTGAACCCAGGAGGCGGAGGTTGCGGTGATCCAAGATTGCACCACTGCACTTCAGCCTGGGCAACAGAGCAAGACGCCATCTCAAATAAAAAAGGAGGCCTAGTTTATATTGTGTGCCAGCTTCTCTTTGCTGTTTATAAGGGATTAGTCAAAACAAGCTTGTAGCTGCTTATTTTCTGTCTATTATTCTGGTTTTGTCTGATTTTACATTTTGCTATTCTAGGAAGGCACTGCAGCACATGCCTCCACTTTCTCTCTCACCAGGATCTACAGATTTCTCAACTTTCCTGTCACCTAATGTGCTGGAAGAAGTGGACAGTTTCCTCATAAGGATTACTAGGTAAAATCAAGGTTGATGAGGGTAAACTCTGTGAGGAATGGAGGGCATATATTCTTGTTAAGTCTTTAAAAAATAATGTTGACTGGCTGCTCAGAAAAGCCATCTTTGCATTGTTCCTCGTCCGGCTCCTTGCTCACCGCAGCCGCGTCAGCCGCGTGCCTCCTTTGCCGCCGTGGACTCCAGCAGCTTTATCGCCAGAGTCCCTGACTCTCGCCTTCTTCTTAATCACATGCATTGGATCACTGCTGTGCCCCAGCATGTCAGACGCAGCCGTAGACACCAGCTCCAAAATCACCACCAAGGACTTGAAGGAGAAGAAGGAAGTTGTGGAAGAGGTGGAAAATGGAAGAGACGCCCCTGCTAACGGGAATGTGAATGAGGAAAATGGGGAGCAGGAGGCTGACAATGAGGTAGATGAAAAAGAAGGTGGGGAGGAAGAGGAGGAGGAAGAAGAAGGTGTTGGTGAGGAGGAGGATGGAGATGAAGATGGGGAAGCTGAGTCTGCTGTGGGCAAGCAGGCAGCTGCAGATGATGAGGATGACGATGTGGATACCAAGAAGCAGAAGACTGACGAGGATGACTAGACAGCAAAAGAGGAAAACTTGAACTAAAAAAAAAAAATAACAAAAAAAAGGCCACCGTGACCTATTCACCCTCCACTTCCCGTCTCAGAATCTAAACACGTTTCTCTACACCTTCGAGTACAGAATCTCTACACCTTCGAGTAGAGAGGCCCGCCCACTGCGGGCAGTGCCACCTGCAGATGACACGACGCGCTCTCCACTACGCAACCCAAACCATGAGAATTTGCAACAGGGGAGGAAGAAAGAACCGAAACTTCCAAGGCCCTGCTTTTTTTCTTAAAAGTACTTGAAAAAGGAAATTTGTTTGTATTTTTTATTTCCATTTTACATTTTTGTACATATTGTTAGAGTCAGCCATTTTTTGTTATCTCAGATGACCAAACCAGCCTTTGGAGTGTTCTGTGTCCTACTTCTGACTTTACTTGTGGTATGACCACTTCCTTATAATTTCAAAGGAGAAAAAAAACCTTGTAAAGAAAAGCAGAAATGACAATAGGAAAACAATTGTACTCCAAGCATTCCAGTACCTTTTTTGTGTACGTACTTAGCTGTACTGTAGTTGGTTTGGATGAGATGGTTGAAAAGGCCAAAGACAAAAAGGTTTCCTTTTTTGTCTATGAAGTTGCTGTTTAATTTTTTTTTGTGGCCTGTTTGATGTGTGTTTGAAACTATATTGTCCAAAAATAAACAAGAATTTCATTTTGCTGAGTTTTTCTAACAACAACAACAAATATCTATCTATCTATCTATCTATATGTGTGTGTGTGTGTGTTAATCTTTTAAAGATCACCACTAAAAATGGTTGCTCTTTAGCAGCTAAAGAGAAAGTGACATAATAGTTCGCTCATCCAAAGTCTGTTATTTAGCAATATGACCTGACCTGAAGAATTGGGGCCAGGGGTGGTGTTGCAGGGCCCAGGGAGAGTAGTCCTATGATTCTGACAGGACAGATGTCTCAAAGTCCAAGTGGCATAATCTCCCAGTTCACTGCTGTGTCTAGCCTGTGGTCCTCACTCAGAACCTGCTGACCTTCACACACAGGTCCAGGGAGCCTGGTTACCTATAGAACTGAGAAAGGGTACCTGGATAGCTTGATAGTAGGGACCAGTTTGTGTGGGGACACTTCTACCTCAGTGAGCCCTGAGGACATTACTGCATTAGACAACAAACCAGTCCCTGAGCCATTTAGACAATTTTTAACGTTTCAGTGTAATGTGTTGAAATGAAAGGCATAGAAGTGTGATTCAGAGTAGATCTAAAATAAATTTTTGGTGCCTCAAGCATAAACTCTCAGCTCTCTGGCCAAACGAACTCATTACCCACGGCTTCTTAACAGCAGAGGCTTATTACAGTAGCTCATTTATTTTTGGCTTATGAGTATTATGTAATATTTAAAGATTAAAAGTTATAGAAGTAAGGCTTTCACTCCCTGGTTCTCTGGATTGATTTAATTTTTCCTCCGGTTATCTTAAGGATTTTGAAAAATATTTTTGATAAACCTGTAGAAAGGAGTATGGCAGGTTAATATTACTTGTGGTGATCACTTTTTACATGGGGTTTGAGCTACCTGGATTTTTTCATGTTGTTAAGAAGTGAAACATTGTTGCTCTTTCTTTATAGCTGCTGTTCTACCCCAGAGGTAGAACTGACTCTTCTGGCTTTTGCACTCGCAAGAGGAAGTGTTGCCAAAGTGATGAGCTCTCTGTGCACCATCACTGACCATCTGGACACACAGTACGATGCCTCATCCCTCCTCTTGTCCATGGCGTCAGTCAGACAGAACCTGCTCCTCAAATATGGTAAATATGGTAAAACATGGGGGTGACGGAAGTGCCAACAGTGGACACATCGTAAAGCCATTCTTCACCATGTGACCTCCTGGTATCTTCTCATCTCTTTAGGTTGTTGTAGTTATACAATCCTCTGAGTATTGGACCTTACTAGGATTGGCCGGGAGAAGGGGGATTTTGGTTCATTTATGTTATGACAGTATCACCAGAAGAGGGAGCTTGAGTGTCAACAGGGCTGTACTCCACCGTCTGCTTGCAAAATTATTCAGGTCTGGTGGCCGTTTGAACACAGCCATCTTTGGTGAAGTACCAAAGTATCTCATTGTGTAGGCCAGCAGGGTTGGAGTAGTTCTTATCTGTCAGGGAGGAAGGTGGCCATGCTATGGTGCAAAGGGATCTTTGTCTTAGATGCATCCCTCTGCATTCCCATCATAACTGCTCCGAAGGATTTGCACATATGTCTGCCACTGCTTTCCCCTCCTGGGCCTAGCAGTAATTCATGTGAGCACTTTTCTACTAAGCCAGAATGGGGCCTTGTAATCCTCCTTAACACAGGAGCCCATAAAGTTACTCCCAGAAGACCGTAGTATAACACTTCCTCCTGCGAGCACAACCTTCCTGGACTCCACAATGTATGGTATTAGGTCTCATCTTTGCACAATATTACTATGATATTTCTGCCCTTTTTTTTTCTGAGAGGGTCTTGCACTGTTGCACAGACTGGAGTGCAGTGGCATGATCATGGCTCACTGCAGCCTTGACTTGCCAGGTCCAGCGATTCTCCTGCATCACTCTCCCAAGTACTTGGACTACAGGTGCATGCCACCATAGCTGGTTAATTTTTAACATTTCTTTTTGCCCAGGCTGGTCTTGAACTCCTAGGCTGAAGCAATCCTCCCACCTTGGCCTCTTAAAATGCTGGGACTACAGGTGTGAGCCACCACACCTGGCTTCTGCCTTGACGTTTGTACCATTGTCTTAATATGAATGACTTAATGACTTATTTTTTTACTTTATTTTTGTTTGTTTGTTTGAGACAGGGTCCCACTCTGTCACCCAGGTTGGAGTGCAGTGGCATAATCTCAGCCCACTGCAACCTCCACCTTCCAGGTTCAAGTGATCCTCTTGCCTCGGCCTCCTGAGTAGCTGGGACTATAGGCATGTGCCACCACGCCTAGCTAATTTTAAAAAAATTTTTTGTGGAAATGAGCTCTCCATGTGTTGGCCAGGGTGGTCTCAAACTCCTGGACTCAAGCAGTTCTCCCACCTCAGCCTCCCAAAATGCTGGGATTACAGGCATGAGCCACAATGCCCAGCCTGTTTAATATTTTTTTCTTTTGCCTCTTTAAATTTTAAAATTAGACAACTAATGTCCTGTAAATCTAGTTTCTCCCCTAAATTTTGAAAGTTCTTTTTTTTGGATGGTGGAGGCTGGCGCTGGTGAACAGCCCAGAGCAGGTGTGGCTGGATGGGAGGGATAGCAGGTAGTGTCTGGAAGTTGAATAGAATTCAGACGAATGGTTGTTCAGACAAGGAGCAGTGGATAGGAAGGTATGCCTAGGGGTCATGTTCTAGTTCTAGGTCATATCAGAGGTGAATGGATACTCATTATATTACTAAAACAAAAGGAAAACATTTTCAGATCATCATAGCAAAAGATGATTTATGTATATATATATATATATATATATATATATTTTTTTTTTTTTTTGCCAAAGCCAGGTGTTCTGAAAAAGTTTTTTCTAATTCTTGAAATAGAAATTTTGCTTGAAGAGATGATTTAAATAAACAAGATATATATATTTAAATGCAATTGCAATAAAGTTAATTATTGGCTCCAAAACAGTATTTTAGGAATCACCTCTCACCCCAATGTGTTTAATCTGTGTTATCAACCTATATCTTGTGATGTCCTTTTTCCAGAACAATGGCTGTTTTAGAAAGCTGTCCTTGGAATCACTCAGGGACATAAGCTGTACTTTGTCTCTTTCAGGGAAGCACAGAGGGCAGGTGTCAGTTTTTGTCTAATATGACTGCTCTGTTTCACCTTTTACACAGGGAGATATTTAGTTAGCAGTCCTGGTAGCCACAGGACTATTTCCACAGATAGGCCTGCTAGTTTTCAGTTCTTCACGTGTTCGCTAAGGCTCGTTCTTTCTTTTCTTTGGTCAGGTAAACCTCTCCAGTTGACTCTTCAGGCATGTGATGTCAAAGGAAAAGAAGAGAAGTCTGGACCTGAAAACCTCCTTGTTGAACCGTGGACTAGGGATGGTGAGTGGGAGGTCTGTTTCGAGTGAGCTCGGCAGACAGTAGTCAGCTGTATGAAAGCACACTGGGCTTTGAAATGTTCGAGGTGTACAGTCTTCAACTTTAGGGTGCTTTTCAGTTGGCAGTGGTTCTGGAACAGCTTGTGTAGTTTACTTGTAATCTGCCTAGGTGTCAATGACCTGTAACAACTTAGAAGTATTTGAGAGCCTGAAGTTTTGAAAAGCAAGGATTCTTTCTCTTGGAATATAAAAAGTTACTGTTGTTTTTTTAATCGTTTTTTTTTTCAGTTCCAGTTGTCTTTCCATTGTGTTATCTTCAGGTAGTAGGAAACTCAGTGGATCAGTAGCACTGTACTACTGACATCGTTTAAGAAGGGTGTCTCCAGGCCGGGCGTGGTGGCTCATGCCTGTAATCCCAGCATTTAGGAGTTTAAGACCAGCCCGGCCAACATGGGGAAACCCCATCTCCAATAAAAAACTACAAAAGTTAGCCGGTTGTGGTGGCAGGGCACCTGTAATCCCAGCTGCTTGGGAGGCTGAGGCATGAGAATAGCTTGAACCCAGGAGGTGGAGGTTGCAGTGAGCTGAGATTGCACCCCTGCCCTCCAGCCTGGGTGACAGTGCGAGACTCTGTTTCAAAAGAACAAAACAAAGAAGGGTATTACCAGATACAGCTGATCTAGTATTTGAGTGTCTGGAGGAAGGCTAATGTCCACATGATAATTGCTGATGTGCTTTTCAACTTTGCTGGAGGCTCTCTTATCGTGGGGGTGTCTGTGAGTCTCTTTCTCATCCATCTTGTTGGCCGCCTCATTATTGTCCTGCTATGTCCCTTTTCTTCTCACTGGACTGCTTTGAATCTTGCTGAATCCCTAGAGAAGGTAGAATGTTCCAGCAATGATCAGACATTGAAGGGACCGGCCTTGCTGCTTTGTGACTGCTTCTCTTGAGC